AGGCCCCTTGTCACTGAGGCCTAGAAAGAGGGGTGAGGGTCGAACGGTGAAGGACCTTGCATGCATGCCAAGAAGCTTACACTTGACCCTGTGGACCAGTGCCTTCTCCAACTGTGGCAAAGGGCCAGTTTTTGAAAATTCCAACCCTTCATGGATGACGCTTAGGATCCCTTCTGTACTTCTCATGACATGGGTGAGCAGACCACACCTGGAGCCCCGCTTTAGACAGCACAAGGCTCTCTCAGCAGAGGTGCAGCACGGTCCGTGGTCTCGTTAGAGGGCGTGTCTGACAGCAGCGTGATGAGGGAAGGATAGCAGGTGGCCAGGAAGCTGCTCTATGATCTAGGAAACGGTATCAGGAGCCTGGCTAAGATACTGGCAAGGAGGACAGGGAGAAGGAGTCAGATGTGAGGGGCGCCTGGGTAGCTCAGTCGGTTGAGTGTTCAGCTCTTGGTTTAGGCTCATGTCACAATCTCACAGTTCATGAGTTCAAGCACCGCGTCGGGTTCTGTGCTGATAGTGCGGCACCTGTTTGGAATTCTCCCCTCCACACACACACACACACATCCCCCACTCTCTCTCTCTCAAAATAAATAAAAACTTAAAAAAAAAAAAAAGAGTCAGATCTGAGAGACACTACTTCTGTCTACATGACAGAACTCAGTGACCAAGTGGCAGGGCATAGCTGTATGCTCCAGACCGGGTGGGCCGTGGCTGTCGGTGCCAGGAGGAGCTATGCAAAGAGGCACAGTGTGAGAAAGGTAAACTTGGGTGGAAGACCTTCAAATTTCACGTCTTTACTCTTGCATTCTATTCTATCTAATTTATTCTTTATTATTCTTTCAAATAAATCTAGTTATCTAGTTAATTTTAATAAACTAGTATTTCAAAGTGAATGCAAGAAGCCTTAAACCGGCCCAGGTAATATCAAAAGAAAGCCCTTTCAACCCCACCAAGCCAAAGCAAGCTTTAGAAAACCAATCTAACACCAAACAGGGCAGCAGTGTTTTCTGTTTGCATCTGGGCTGAAAGTGCAGAAAAGAAACACACATTCAACTATCTCCATTGGTGAAACTTCAGACAAAGCCAGACAGTGTTGCTGCTACAGCCACAAAATCACAGCCTAGGAAGATCGCACCTCGCGTGGTATGTCAGAACTCAAGTTAGTTTCTGAAAACAAATGAAACTCGTTTGCTGTACTAGGTGCAGTTTGCTGCTTTGGTGTAAGAAATCTTCGTTTCTGGGAACAGCAACACATGTTTGGGTGAGGAACAAAAGCACCTGCCAAAACCACTCTGTGGAAAGAAAAAAGAAAACAAAACTCTCCCAGTCTGTTGGCCCCTGAAACAAGTAAACAATCTGGAAATGATGAAATGGAGTAACAGGTATATACTGCGCATAACCCCAGCCTGAGGAGTTAAAGGGGTCTGTCTGCATCAGCAAGTTTCCTCCATTTGACTCTGATGGCCCACTGCCTCTCAGGCTCAAGCCTGTGGCCTCCCTTGCCTGGACTGGTCCGGCAGCCTCCGCCTGGCCCCCAGCCGCCTCCTGCCCTTAACAGTTCAATCTCAACACAGCACCTGCTGACCCTGTAACATGGAGGCCAGGTGTCTTAGCCAGCTCAGGCTGCTGTAACAAAATCCCACAGTCTCAGTGGCTTAAACAACAGACATTCATCAGTCACAGTCCTAGAGGTTACAAGTCCAAGATCAGGGTGTCAGCATGGCTGGGTTCTGGCGAGAGCCCTGGTCCTGGCTTGCTGATGGCAGCCTTCTCACTGTGTTCTCTATGGTGGGAGAGATCAAAGGCCCTGGGCTTTTCCTCTTCTCACAGGGCGCTAATCCCATCACGGGGGGCCCTCCCTCATGACCTCATCTCAACTAAACCCCACAGGCTCCACCTCCAAGTACCACCATGTTGGTGGGGGAGGGCTTCAATGTGAATTCTGGAGGGACAGAAACATCAGTCCGCAGTGCCACGGCATGTCGCTCCTCTGTTCAAATATCTCCGGTGGTGGCTTCAGAAGGGCCAACATCCTCACACCAGCCACCAGGCCCTATACCTCTCTCTATGAGGAGGGCACAGCTTGCTAGCAGCACTCAGGAAATCTGTGAGGGCATTTCTTGGCAGTCACAGCAACTGGGGCGGGGGGGGGGGGGCAGGTAGCACTGCACAGCCGAAGATCATGTCAAATCTGTACACTGTCAGACACTCCCACAGGCCAAAAACCTTTAATAACTCCCTGGAGCGTACAACCACACTTAGGTAAAAGCACAAAAACACTTTTTGTGTAATTTTATACAATCTTCCCAGAATGTAACTACTGTATAAAGCAGGCAAGGCTGCACTTCTTTTGTTTGGAGTGTTAACAACAATTGCTCACCATCTTGGAGATGAGGGCACCGGAAGTAACCTGGTGTTTTTATCAGTCTGCATTAGTGGGCGCCACATTCACTCAGAGGTGGAATGTCACTGTGTGTCAGGGTATTTACGTGTTTTTCTATTAGTCCAGGGTTAGATTACCAGCTGGGTAATGTATTTCTTTTTGAAATTGCGTGTGTTGGGGGGGGGGGTTACTGTCTATAAATTTCACTCTGGGGGGGGGGCATTTCTGTAATAAACATTGTTTGAAGAGAGCATGGCATCCCTGCAGGGCTGGCACTCTCATTTTCCTCTCTCTCCCTGCAGCCACTCCCATACTCCAGTCCTCCTCCATACGGAGGACTCTCCCCTCTCCACCCCTGCTATGCCTTCTGCCTAAAAGCTCTCCTGCCTCCTTGAGTTCTTGCCCAAATGGCACCTTCTAGATGGAGTTGTTTAAAACTGCAGCCCCTACCCCCGCCCCCACCCCCGGTGCTCTCTATTCCACTCCCCTGCCTTAGTTTTCTTCAATAAAGTCATGGCTTTTATCACCGCTACATAATTTATTTCCTTGTTTCCCGCCAGAATGAAAGCTGTGGGAGGGTAAGGATTTTGTCTGTATCCACAGGGCCTGGAACAGTATCTAGATACCTTTATAGGTGATTTACAGATTAATGGTTTAGAAATACCAATTTTGAAATCTTTAGTTATAACTGCAAGATGAAAACTAAATAAAAAATTCGGGGTCTCTATGCATTACCACCTTTAATCTCCATGTAGAAATACATAGATACACTGTATCTACATCTACTGTAGAAATATATATAATGATTGGTATCCAGGGCTGAATTTAACTTTAAAAAGCCAGTCTATTCTCAGAAAAACAATGAGACTTAGAACATAATGAGTATTACTTGAAATTATCAGACCTTACTGAGATTTCTCAAATTCTCCCTTTAAGTGTCTCTTAACACCTCCCTGCTCTGTCTCCCTAATCTGTTCCTGGATTCCATGGATTTGTATTCCATCCTGCCTCCCATTCTTCCCACCTCCTCCCTCCCCCTGCTCCCCTTTACAGGTCTGTCCCACAGCTCTGGCCTCCCTGTTACCAGCCCACACACCACCCCCCACCCCCCCACTCTGCTGCAGGATTAGTGTTGAGTCACTCACCTCGGTCACATTAATGGTCCCAGCTTCCTGTTCATCCTAGTACAAAAGGCAGGATGCTACTGCGGGCTCCACGTGCCCTCTGCTTCTCTCCCTCCACCTCCATTCCCTAAGCTCCTCTCAGACAGGACCTGTCCCTGCACCCTAGACCTGCTGCGTCCTTTGCAGGCCCCACTCCCGATGAAATTCTCAAGGCTCAGCTCACCACAGCTTCAGAAACCTTCTCTGCCTCTCGGCTGGCCAAGGGCTCAGAGCATTCCTCCCACCTCCCAGAGGCCCTTAGAAAAAAAACCTGGCCCAGCCCTAACGTTCAGTGATAAAAAGTGTTTCTCTCAATCCTTTTCTTGATTTCACCTTTGGACAAAGTCAGACATTGTGGAATTTAAAGAACTCTACTTTTGTTTTAAAAACATTAAAAGGCTTAAATATGAAGGAGACATGGTAGGGATAAACAGGCCAAAAGCCAGTTCTACAGTCACCTTGTGGCCACTCACTCCTGAGAGAGCTGGTCCTTCCGGCTGCCTGAGGTACTTACTGATCCAGGCAGGGACCCAGACAGGTGAGGTGGGCGGTCTGCGGCGCCCCAGCTGCCACCATCTGTGGACAGTAACTAGGTTTGCTATTGGCTTGATAAAATGATGCGTCACCTTACAATAAGTGTCAATATTTTTCCATCTAAAACACTGTTTTTGGAACATTTTATTAGCGAAGGAAACACATTTGCTGTGCTCATGAAAATAATGAGTCACAGATTAGTGACGAAAGAGAGTATGCCAGTCCGACCCTAATCTAGGGCCAAATCAGAATTACTACTACTGGACTTTGAAAGCCCCAAATCCTTGGATTTGCATAGCTTTTTCCAAAAAGATTACTTTGGAAATCAAATACAATTCCCCAACTGTAGGACCCCACTCTGCTAACTCTCACCAGGAAGACAAGATCAAAAACCAGAGGCATGGTAGATTAAGTGAGAAACAAGCTCGGTGTTTCACTTCCCTCAACGTAAAGACCCAGTAAAGCAGCTAACTTGGATGAATGTCAAATTTTACAGCCCTCAACTAGTTTAGCCTCTATAAAAACAAACGAGTAATTTGAGGTTACAGGAGATAGTTCTTCTAATTATGATTACAAGATTCTAATCATTAGCTAGAAGTTAAAAAGAAAAAAATTTAAAGCAGCATGTCTTTGTAAAAGACCTACCAGCCAGAACTATTAATAGAAAAGCCTAGAGCCATTTAAACATGAAATCTGGAAAGAAAAAAAAAAGAGAGAGATAAAGCTTCCTCTTCAACCGACGCACTTTGTGAATAATCACAATTCAAGCTATAAACACACCCCGAGTATAATTCCCTCTCTTCTCCTTGCCTCTGTTATCCTTTCTGATTCCATTAAAAACGTGTAACTGTTTTTCTCTTTTTCTGGAATAGGCTTCCTCGGAAGCAGCAGAGCAAATGCTCATGTATCCATGTTACCTTCTTTTAAAGTCCATTTGATGGAGCCTGTCCTCTTGCTGACCGCATGCAAGCTTCCATCCAGGGTTGACACAAACAGCAAGGTTTCGGGAAGCGTCACTGTGCTGGGACTTCCAAAAGTCTGCAATGAGATGTTCATGCTCAACAGGATTCTTCATCTTGGGCACGTGCAGCCACAGACAGACCCGCCCCCCGCCACACCCCGAAAGTTATCCTTTGAAAATCCACCGCCTCATAGATGGAGACACGGAGGTTGGAGAACCCACGTCCAAGCACAGGTCTAGACAACAGTTGAGTCAGGACGAGACTCCGGTGGCTTTATTCTCTCTAAGCAGCAATCCTTCCTGCAGACAGACGGGCTTATAACCTGACACAACAGGACAGGGATTCTGAAATAATCCATGGCCAGCTCCACTGAGCAGAGGAAGAACGCATGCTCAGCTTTCTAACGGACTTCCTTCTCTTGGTTATGCTGCACTTTCTGAACCCTGGTCATCCTGGAAGCCTTACTGGTAAAGAAGCACGCCAGCATACCCACACATGCCCACACGCACTTACGGGATTTCAAGAAGGCAAAGAATCAGGGGAAAGTGCTAAAGCAAAATAGGAAAAAGCTCTCATTATGTAAAAAGTTCATATGATGGGATGCCGGGTGGCTCAGTCGGTCAACTGTCTACATGATCTCATGGTTTGTGAGTTTGAGCCCCACCTTGTGCTGTCAGCACAGAGCCTGCTTGGGGATTTCTCTTTCTCCCTCTCTCTCTGCCTGCCCTGCTTGTGCACTCTCTCAAAATAAGCTTAAAAAAAAAAAAAAAGTTCATATAACAATAAAACACCAAGATTTCAGAAGAGACAGTTTATAAAAGAAAATGTATGAAAAACATAACCCAAATTAATCTTCACTTATAGTCAAAATGTAATTTACATAAAAATGTACATTTTATGCCTAATAAGTTAAAACACGCATACACACACTCTCTCTCTGTCTTTACAGAAAACAGCCAAAGGTGGTGAAATTTAGTTTCTCATCCATTGTTGGTGCCAATGAAAACTGTAAGTCAGTGCAATATTTCTGGAAAACATAAAAATGCTCAGATTTTTGATCCTATAATCCCCCTTCTGTATCCTAAAGAAATAGTTCCAGATATGGAAAAAGCTGTGTGCACAACGATGCTTATCATATCCCATATTCCATTTACAAACAAAAAAACTGGAAAGATCTGAATTTCCCGTAATATCTAAATGACTGAACTAAGTTATGACACACACTCAATGGAATATTACAGAATCATTAAAATAGCACTTGGGAAAATTTACAGCAATGTAGTAAAATTTTTATGTGAAAAATATAGACTCCAAAATTTAATGTACACTGTGGTGAGAATTACACTGGACAAATTTTTTTTTTGTCTGCCGATCTTCTAGCTTTGCTAAGCACTGTACCCTCATCCCCACGAGAGCAGCTGTGTGTGGGTTCGTACATGCGCATAGGCAATGCACCCATGTGCAGGTGAGAGCTGGGAAGGTTTCCTGACACAACACCCTTTTGAGGTATTCAATTCCACCCTGTTTTTTTTTAATGGTTATTTATCTTGAGAGAGAGAGCAAGCATGTGCACTAGAGCACATGCGTGCAAGTGGAGGAGGGGAAGAGAGCAAGAGACAGAGAGAGAGAGAGAGAGAGACTGACTCCCAAGCAGGCTCCACTCTGTCAGCACAGAGTCTGACGCAGGGCTCGATCCCACAAACTGTGAGATCATGACCTGAGCTGAAATCAAGAGTTGGACACTTAACCGACTGAACCACCCAGGCGCCCCAGCAATGCTACCCTGTAGTAAGACCTTCTCTTTGACACCATACTGTCCCACAAGCTACCTGGTTCCTGTGGGTCTTAAATTTAAAATGCGCCAACACAACTTGCTTATACTGTGAGAGTTTGGATTCTGGCACAAAAATATTAAAATACAGGAGTATGGCTGGCTTGTAGCACTAAACATAAAAGACTGGGGGTTTACGCATACAAGGCAGCCTTACCCAAAATACCCGCCCACTCTTGGTGAGAACCAGGATGGCACCTAGCCAACACCTTAATAAGGAAAGCCCGATGGCTCTCTCCAAAGCAGCCTGAGATGGCAGGACAGACACCCCAGTCCCTGCATTCCTGTGGACACCCACTGACAGAAGGGGCGAAGAGGCCCCAGAGCCTCACTCATCTCTGCTCTTTCTTGCCTGTTTCTGGGATGGAGGTGAATAAGTTCTACCCTTCACTTTGCCCAGAGCCCACGGGGCCCACTCACCTGGAATGGGAGAAACAACAGCAAGCTTTATCACTGCCTGCGGAGTCTATTCTCGGTGTAAAGCCCCAAGTCTGAGGAAGAAGAGTCTGCTGTGAACTTTATCTTCAGAACTAGGAAATTAGTCTGGGTATGACCTGGCTAGGAAAACAAGCCTCAGGGTGGTGCCTGCCCGAGCTGAGAAGCCAGAGGTTGTGCAAAAAGTGTTTTAGGGAAAGATTATTTTTGCCTGCAGGGTATAGACTGTGTGGAGACTCATCTGAACCTGTTTACACCTGAACTGGAGAAACACACATTGCCTGGAGCACAAGGGCTTGCAGAACAGCGGGGCGTGGGATGAGACCACTGAGGGCTGTAGCTGAAGGAGACTTGAGGCTCTCCCCCCCCCCCCCGCTGAGAAGGTGATGGGTTTGCAGAAGGACAAGAGATGGTGGGATCACATCACCTGGAGGCAGTCTAGAGCCTGAATGAGTGAAAGGGGAAGAATGCACGCATACCTGGGGACCAGGAAAGGACCGCTGAGTCCCCTCCACCTGTCATTTTGTACAACAGATCTTGGGATCACACAAGAATTGTGTTGAAGTCTGTGGGTCGCTAAACTAGTAAGAAATTAAACTCGGGAGATTTCTGTGAATGTTGGCTGGATGTGAGAGACACAAAGACTGACACAGAGAAAGAAGCCTGAGAAGAAACACAGCTGAAAGATGGAGAGTGTGCCCCGGTTTCTGCTGTTCCTCAGGCCAACTTCCTGTCCTTGGGCTCAGAGACACTCCATTCCTTACAAGAAACTCCCCCTTTTTGCTTACATTTGTTGGAACTAGATTTGTCACTCGCAATCCAAAACAGTCCTAAAACACACATGCATGCACCCTTATTAAAAATACATATGGAGGGGCGCCTGGGTGGCTTAGTCGGTTAAGCGTCCGACTTTCACTTAGGTCATGATCTCGCGGTTCGTGGGTTCGGGCCCCGCGTCGGGCTCTGNAGGGGCGCCTGGGTGGCTTAGTCGGTTAAGCGTCCGACTTTCACTTAGGTCATGATCTCGCGGTTCGTGGGTTCGGGCCCCGCGTCGGGCTCTGTGCTGACTGCCAGCTCAGAGCCTGGAGCCTGTTTCAGTCTGTGACTCCCTCTCTCTCTGACCCTCCCCTGCTCATGCTGTCTCTCTCTCTCCTAGAAATAAATAAAACATTAAAAAATAAAATAAAATAAAAAAAAATAAAAATACATATGGAGACAGCGGTGCCTGGGTAGCTCAGTTGGTTAAGCATCTGACTCTTGACGCCAGCTCAGGGCATGATCTCATGGTTCATGAAGATCTGTACTGACAGCGCAGAGCCTACTTGGGATTCTGTCTCTCCTTCTCTCTCTGTCCTTCCCCCATGCTCGCTCTCTCTCCCTCAAAAAAACAAAATATATATATATATACACACATATATACATATAGATGTATATATGTACAGATGTACAGATGTTTAGTTTGTATTTCTATACACACACACACACAAAAAGATGAAGGAAATATTGCAAAACTATGGCAACAGTTTTTTTTCTCCTGTATTTTCTAAATTTTCTAGAATATGATCATGTAACCTGCAATGAATTTTTCATAAAACAGAAAGGAGATGGACATGTTAGCAGGTGGGACAGAAGCTCAAAGTTAGAGGAGCTTCAGTAAGCCCCTCAGGTCCAGGTGAAGCGCTTTCCAAATTAGGATATTAGGCAGCTCAACCACCTTTGATCATTAATATCCACCAAAAAGAAACCAAAGTTTAGAAACAAAGAGGTCCCTCAGTAAGACAGTGTGTATCCAGGAATAGATGAGTTTTGACATTGTTATTAAAGCCAACAGTACAATGATAATGAACTAAATGCCCCCAAATATAGCTTATCACAGTATTAATATTAAAAAGGGTCAATATTTACTAAAACATATCAGTGCTGCTTCATTACTAGTGTGGAAACAAAAGCCACCTGCCTCATCTGAGCATCCTGGAAACCACAGGAAGAGCAATTGTCTATGGTTGGCTGGTGAATCGAAATAAAACACTAATCACATAACTAACACAGTCTTCTGAAAATCTTAAAAATACCAGGTTTGGCTAGAAGTTGAATTTAGCAACTGAGAATGCCGACAATTAATCACAGTGTCCATACGGACTTCACAAACCCTGTTACAAGCTTCTCTCCTCTTTAAAAGCTCTTGACAGTTTCTAATTAGAATGTCCGGGGAGCCACTGTGAATGGTGTCATTCTTTCACATGGCAAATTAATATGACAAAATCTCTGGCTGTTCCCCCAGCATTTCTGAAAGCTGCCTGCCCTCAGATATAGCTGCTGTCACTAATGTGAATTAAATAAGCTTCTAGATGCCTTGTGGGATACTGAGCACAGCTAAGAACCATTTGTACCTGAACGTCTAAAAGTGCTGCTTCACAGTAATGAACTTGCACGGTACCTCACCCAGCCATTAGGGCTCTCTTCTCTCTATGATGGATGTAATGGCCATAGGTGTGTGTTACACACACTCGTTTCCTGACAGCCTGGAACTGGAAACAAAACCCTGCTTCTGCAGATCTGCTTCGAGTTGACTCCCTGGAATCTGATTCATTTTTCCAACTAGTGGGATATGCACTCCTGGCTTCAATGGTGACTTCTAACAAATAATCCCAGTAACACGGCGGAGGGTGAAAATGCTGGTGGCAGGTAACTAGTCTAACCTAAAACTAAACACCCACTAGCCATTGGTCCTCATGGAAATCTGACAAGTGCTCTCTCCCAGGAGGTGACCCTGAGGTAGCCATCCTAGAAACACTCAGCCTGAGGACTAT